TGTGCAAAATGATGTAAAAATAAACTTTTGTAATAATTTAAAAAAATTAAACCTTAAAAAAAAAACCAAATTGGAAAAAAAAAATGGGAGCAACTAATATTTTTTCAGTCTTACAATTGAATAGGTGGAAATGGTATTTCATTGTTTGATTTATCTTTATTAAGAGCTTGAGTGCCTTTTCACATATGCTGCTTTAAGTTATTTACATTTCCTTTCATGTTAACTTCATAGATCTAGATCTTTTCCTTGTTGTATTGGAACTCTGTACTTAGGAATTAGTCTTTTGTGCTTTAGTAAATTTACTCTATTTTTTAATTATCTTCATGAGATTTTTAATTTTAATAATATGAATTTGTTGAGCTCTTTTTTAATTCTTAGGTTTCTGCTGTAACATTGTAAACAGCATTTTCCATTTTTTGTGTCTAGTGCTTTTTGTATATACCTTTAATCATCTAGAATTAATAATTAATTACCTCCTTCCTCCTGGCCCTAATAACCTCTAATCTACCTCCTATTTCTGGGTTTTCCTGTTGGGATTTCATACATCAATTAAACATTTGTTCATTGATGTATAGTTATCTATTGGCTTGTTGAAAAAGTATGACACATTTTTGCCTAGAAAAAATAGGACTTTTCCAACAACCCAATATTTGAGAACTTTTTTCAATTCTTTATGATGTATATCATGTGGGTCACATGGTAATTTTATGTTTAACTTTTTGAGGAACCAGCAGACTGATTTCCATAGTGGCTATACTATTTTACATTCCCACAGGCAGTGTGTGAACCTTCCAGTTTCTCCATGTCCTGGCCAACATTTGTTCTTCTCTGTTTTTGTTTTTATTATTTTAACCATGTTAGTAGATGTGAATCATGTATTGTTGCATTTCCCAAATTAATGATAATGTTGAGGGCCTCCTTGGTGACACAGGGGTTAGTCTTAGCTCTATCAAGCCATCATCAGACACTGTGGCTTGAGTTAGCTCTCCAACTAGTGAGGGAGCTAACCCCCAAGGCACAGCAGACCTCTCCTGCCTTGCCCACTGCTTACCTCAGCAGTATATTTCAGTAGATCTACCTGTTTTGCTCCAACTCTGACTCTGGTAAATCCTCTCAGCCCCTGCACCTCTAGTTTACACTCCAATTCTTTTATGCATAAATAAATAAAAATAAATCTTAAGAAAAAATGATGTTGAACATTTTTCATTTGCATATTAGCTGTTTGTATATTTCCTTTGGAGAAATGTCTCTTGAAATTTAGTTCCTTTGCCTATTTAAAGTGGTTTGGTTTTTTTGTTGAGTTATAGTTCTTTTTTTTTCTTTTTCTCTTATAAAAGTTTATTCTGAAATGTATGACAGACTCCAAGATACTTCATTCTAGCTATTGTCAACAAAAGATGTTATGGCAGGGAATTCAGATGCTTAAACAGGAATGAAATTAAGGATTGCCATTGCTTAAAGGACAAGGAAATGCTTATTTTTTGCCAAAGTTCTTAATTCCACCTGTAGTAAAGGGACCTTTCCCCATAACCTTCACTTTAAGTTTCTTCTGTTCATCTTTCTATTTCTGTTTGAATGTCTTATCTTTCTTGTCCATCAACTTAGGCTGCTTCAGGAGTTTCTTGCCCAGACCCTTGTAGGAGTTCTTTATATGTTGTAGATATTAAGCCCTCATCATTTATATGATTTGCAAACATTTTTTGCATTCTGTATATTGTCTTATCATTTTTTTATAATATCCTTTGATGTTTTAATTTTTTTTTAAGATTTATTTATTTGTGCATACAGAACTGGGGTATAGGCCAGAGGCTCAGGGGCGGTGAGAGGCTTCACCAGAGACAGAGTGGGGAGCAGAACAGGCAGATCTACGAAGTACACTGCTGAGGGGAGCAGCGGGCGGGTCAGGAGAGGTCTGCCACGCCATGTGGTCACCTCCGGGGTAGGCGGGAATCGAACTCATGCGGAAGTGGCTTTAGCTTCTTAGTGCTGTGCTTTAACCCGCTGCGCCACTAGGGAGGGCCTGATGTTTTAAATTTTAACGAAATTTAAAGGTCTGCTCCACCTTATGGGTTAGCTCCCTGGTTGGAGAGCTAACTCAAGCCACAGTGTCTGATGATGGCTTCATTGTGCTGAGATTTTAACCCCTGTGTCATCAGGGACGCCCTCAGCGTTAATTTGGGAAAATTAAAATCATCATTAATTTGGGAAATGCAAGCTAAAATCCTTCTCTGTACTCAGATTGTTATTGAGTTTTTTGGGTTGTGGGAACAATGAAATAATTGATTGTTGCCAGTGTCTTAATTTGCATCTTGTTTATTGTATACACTCAAGTTTTTTTAATTAAAATTTGCTAGTGTAATATAATTAGTTTATTTTCTAATATGATTTTCGTCTCATTTAAAAATAATAGCTCTCTGCTTTAAAAAATTGAATTTAAAACATTTGCATTAAAGATGGATTTACTATTACAACTAGGGTGCTTGCTAATCACTATATACTTTGGTGTAAGCCAAGGAGTAGAGTGGTTTAAAGTGTTTGACATTATTGCCAAAAGTAAAAAAGGGTAAAAAATGATGGGATCTTTGTCACAAATAATTAGATTTTTGTATCTATACTTCTATTTTTTGTGCTTTTGTATCATATAAAAGAATCCACTGCCAAATCCAGGGTCATATTTACCCCTGTGTCATCTTTAATTATTTAAACACCAATATTTAGGTTGTTAATTCATTTTTTAAAAAGAATTATTTATGCACACAAGAGCTGGAATATAGGCCAGAGGTGCGGGGGTGAAAGGATTCACCAAAGACATTGTGGGGAACAGACCAGGTGGATTGACTGAGTGGAACAGTAGAGACACAGGAGGTGACCAATTGGGTCATCTCCCTGGCTGGGGATGGAACTTGTGCTATAGTGACTGCAGATAGCTTCATAATGCTTTGCTATCATATATTGCACCACCAGGGAGGCCCCTGTGTGTTCATTTTTAATTAACATTTATATTAAGTATGAGGTTGGAATCCCATGTCATTCTTTTGCATGTAGAAGTCCAGTTCTTCCAGTACTATTTGTTGAAGAGACTATACCTTCCTCATTGAATAGACTGAGTACCACTGTGAAAAATATGTTAAGGACTTACTTCTGGACTCTAAATGCTAGTTCTACACTGTTGATTATTATAGCTTTGTAGAAGATTTTTGAAATCAAGAACAAAGTTGGAAAATATTTTTTTCATGGTTTTCTCTGTTAAAAGCCCCAGAAATTCCCCTTGAATTTGAGAACTATTTTTTCCTTTTCTGCAAAAATTACTGTTAAGAATTTTTGTTTATTTGTTTTAATATTTGACTGTTGGAATTGGGTTAAATTTGTTGTTTGCTTTGGGTATTACTAACTTCTTAATGTCTTCACAGTATTAAGTTGATCTACCCTTGAACATGAGTTGTCTTATCATTTATTTAGGTTTCTAAATTTCTTTCTGCAGTAATTTAAATTCACAGTATACAAATTAGTTAACTTATTCTTAAATATTTACTTTACAATGGTATTGTAAATGAAATGACCTATTAATTTCCTTTTTGGATTGTTGCTTGCTACCAAATAGAATTCTGCACATCTTTTTTGTGTGTTGCTCTTATAATTTACAACTTTGCTGAATTTATATATTACTTTTAATAGCTTTCTTTAAAAAAAAAAAAATCTGGGCCCTCCCTGGTGGTGCAACAGGTTAAAGCAAAGCACTATAAAGCTATCTGTTGCTACAGCAGGAGCTAAATTAGACCACTCCGTACCCACCTGTTGCTCCCCTTAGCAGTATGTGTTTCAGTATCCAACAGTTGTTAACCAAATGTACCCCAGTTCTTGTATACAAGAAGGCCAGAAGGGATTCACCAGAGACAGAGTGAGGAGCAGAACAGGTGGATCTACTGAAACACCGCTGAGGGGAGCAGTGGGGGAGACCCAAGAGGTCTGTACCCCAGGAGGGGAAACTCCCTGGCCAGTCTGATTTTACTTGTGCTCCTGTGGCTGGTGATTGCTTGATAGTGCTGTCTTTAACCCCTGCATCACCAGGGAGGCCCCAGTTTTAATAGCTTTCTGTGAATTCTTTGGGACTTCCTACATACAGGGTCATGTCATCTGTGAAAGGAGATAGTTTTACTTCCATTTTTTCGATTTGGATTTATGGTTAACAATCTTACATAATGTAAAACTTAGTGTTTCAATTTTTAATGTCATTTTTTGTTTTTAAAATGATCTTGAAAACTCTTTAAGCTTTCAATTGATGCAGTGTATATTGAAGAAAATATTTAAATGTTTATTAACTTAAGGATTCCCCCCATCCCTTTTTTCCTTAGATTTGGCTAGCTGATTGGTTGCTGAAAAATAATCCCAACAAACCTAAACTTTGTCACCATCCAGTTACAGAAGAACCGTAGTAAAATAAATTCTTCAAGGAACAGATCATGAACTATCTTATTATGAAAAACATACTTATATTTTTAAAAAATCGTACTTCCTAAAGGTTTAAGTAACTGCATGTGAAATAAATTATTTCTTAAAATCAGTTTTATAGGAATGTATTTTGTATAGCAGATAATATCTAATTTAAAATAGAGGTTTACTGTATGCTTTTTTTTTTTTTCACTTACAAGGTAATGTTCAGTAAACAGAATTAATTTGTATAAACTCTGTCAGAGATAAATGAAGCTAGAAAAATGACCATACTCATGTCTAATTTGTACTGTGCATCAACAAGAACCTGCTTTAAATTACCATGCCAGTATACAATGCCCTTATGAACAATGCAAATTTCGTAGTTACTGAAATATCACTAGGGCAGCGCTTGTTAAGGTTACATTCAGTAGTGTGTTAATGATAAAAAACAAGACACTGTACAGTTTTAAAACAAGTCTTATTCAACTTTACATTTCAGTTACTTTTGGCTTTTTTCTTCAATTTTTAAGAGGTAATGAGTTGTGTACAGGAAGGATGAATTTTTTACAGACAAGGACAAAAAACTAGAAACAATTTGTTTATCATCCCTTTTTAATTCCTTTGCTTCTTTTTCTTACATTTTCAGCCTTGACACTTTTTTCCCCTTCACACACAAGCCTTGGAACAGTATCCATCTTATAGTTCCCCTCCTGTTTAGCTGCTTCTCATCTGTAGCACTGTTAATTTCACATCTCTCTAAATTTCTTTGCAGTATCACCAACTGATAGATTGAGGTGTTCTCCTTTGATTTAGGGCAACACTCAGAACACAAAAATAGTTATATAACTATTTATAGGAGGCCTCTTTGATGTATTGGGATTCTTCTTTATCTCCATTTTGGGAGAAATACAGGTTGTCAGTCTTTTTTTTAAATGGACTTTGTCTCCCTCTGCCATGTCTTCAGAGCTTTTTTTCTCTTTAAAAGACATGGTTTTCTTCCTCCCTATGTACTTTTTGAAAAATTCTGAGAAGTGTGTAAGTGCTTCTTAAGAAGAAAGCTCCTCCCAGCAAGTTTCTGTAAAGAATGCATATGATGACATTTTGATTCTTGGCTTCTTAGGTTTTTCTTTGCCCATGTTTATTTTTCCTCAGCAAGGCAAAGATACTCAGAGCTGATTTGATTCTCATTTGCCCCGTTATTGTCTTCTTAGTGCTCAGTATATTGCAGTGGCTGTCCATTTAGGGTATGATTTTAACAATAATGTGACATTAAGCAATAAAAAGCAGATGTAAGGTGTTGCTGCTATTTTTCCTTTCTTTTTTTTTAAATATTTATTTATTTGTGCATACAGAACTGGGGTACAGGCCCGAGGCTCAGGGCCGGTCAGAGGCTTCACCAGAGACAGAGTGGGGAACAGAACAGGCAGATCGACGAAGTACATTGCTGAGAGGAGCAGGGGTGGATCAGGAAAGGTCTGCCACGCCATGGGATCCCCTCAGGGGCAGGTGGGAATCGAACTCATGCGGAAGTGGCTTTAGATTCTCAGTGCTGTGCTTTAACCCCCTGCGCCACCAGGGAGAGCCTGCTATTTTTCTTTTTAAGTTTGAAAATAAGATAAATAATTACTTGGTATAATGAAAATGGTCAGAACCAGGTTATCATTTTAATCTATTGTTTATATAACTATATCCCCAATATTGATAAGTACCATCCAGTGGTGATCAGATAGTAGGGTGAAAACTCTTCCTGGTTGCCTGTTACTGTCCTGATTATGAATGATCTTCACCCTTATAGACCCCTTAGTCATGGGGGAAATAGAATGATTGATCATGTTACCAAATAGAACTGTGCTTTTCTGGTGAAATACTAGTTTTCAAAAAGATATAAAATTCTCCAGTTATTAGGGAAAAAAATTAATTTTCTTTAAAAAATAAATAGCACTTTTATTAAGAGTAAATATTTAAACAAAGGACATTACTAAAGAAAAAGATTGTTGTGGAACAGTCATACAGAGCTTTCCTTTTAAATTATTTAGGGCAGCTAGTCCACTATAAAGAGGAGACAACTAGAAAAAATGATGATGTCTGTGTCTTTCCTGCTTCCAAGGTAACCAAGAAGTCCCCCCCCATCAAAATCTAGGGTTGATGACACTGCTGTGATTAATCCCTTTTGTTCCCAGACCAAATTGTTTTTTATAGCCCACCCCCTGCCAGCAGTTTCCAAAGTGCCACTGCCATCAGCTCCAGAGGGAGCCCCATCCTTAGGCTTCCTGGCCAGCAGCTGCTTTGTGATGGCAGGGAGCATGGAATGGGAGGAGAAAGCAACTTGCTGACAAATGGGCAGTTAATAGGACCAACAGCCCCATCTCAGAACCATAAAAATTTCCTTTTTCCCCTCCACCTTGCCTCATCTGTATTTCTTGGATGAAGTGGAGGGTAATGTTCCTTGGAAAAGCTAAGGCTGCTTATATGTTATCAAAGCAACCTCAAATTCCTCCCCCAACCCTGCTTTTTTTCCCTCAAATCAGTTTCGCTCCTCAGTCTAACATTGTCAAATCAGCACAGATAATAAATGACTATAAGGGAATATTATGAACAACTTTATGTCAAATTCAACAAGGTAGATGAAATAGACAAAGACCTAAAAGATAATGCCATCAATATGTCAACCTAAACTACAATTCCTGTATCTTCCTTAAAACTTTCTGTCATCAGAGTTTGGGTCTCTGGCTGTTCAGTTTTTTATTCTGAAGCAGCCATACTGAAAATTCTTAATCATTCTTAATTCTTGGATCTGGTTAATTTTTTAGCACAAGTTTTCTAGTTGTTGAATGGAGAGGGCTAGGCTATTAAGAATAAGCATCTCAGATTAATAAATTTTAATCAAGACTGTAAAATAAGGATTCTTCTGGGTGGTCATTTGTTGGAGCCAGAATGACTACCTCTCATACTTCGTCTAGCATTTCTTGTCTTTCCCAATGTGAGAACATTTCAAGGAGTCTTTAACATATATATGTGGTTAGGAGCCTCTTGCGCCATAAAAATGGTTAGACAAGGACCAATATAAAACAGTCATTCTACAATAAGGTTGAAGCTTTGGAAACAAGCACATCCTTTTCAGTGGTGCAAGTGACACATTTTATAATGTGTCATTTAGCAAATGAACTGTGAAGAATTAGTCATGCCCAGTTTCTAACCATCTGATGACTGGCTATGAGCTAACCATCCCAGATGAAAATTCTTTGACTTTAAAACTTTAGTCTTTAAGAGCTCAACTAAAGTACTATATAATGGCAACCCCAAACTCTGGTCTGGTTTAAGTTGTCTGCACCTTTTAAAGATACAAATTCAACACAGAAATGACAAATTATACTTCATAAATGTTTTGAGAAAAAATGTATTTGAAACCATTGTGAACTTTGCAGTGACAAGCACAGTATACAAAGTCAGTGTTGTTAGGGTAATCATATGGTATTGTTAATTTAATACCCCATTTCTTGACATCATATTGTCATATTCCTATTTCTGTTTCTATTATGGTAGGCTCTAACCTCCACACACTGTTGTATATAGGAAGCAAATCCTTTTGTCTAGCTTCCTATAGGTCTCTGCCCACAACCACTGCTGTTTTGGGGCTCTTCAATAGTTACCTTAACTCTGAAGTCTGAGCTGGGCTTTACTAAGCCTTCTTAGCTGGCTTTTCTCCTGGATTTCATGCCCTTACATCTTCATAGAAAACTTTTCTTTGTTTTTAAAGCTTTATTATTTGGGGGAGGGGGTTTCATCTTTTTTCCTGCACTTAATCTTTTCCCTATATCAGTGCATTTGGTATTCCTGACCTCCACAAAGCTGCTATAAAATTTTTAATTTACAGAGCATGTTAAAGTGAAGAAGATAAAAAACATTCTTTCTTCCTATGCTAATTGGCCAGGGAACTCCACTTGAATTGACATTATGGATACTGCCCTTATTGAAAACAGGTTTCTAGCTTCCCATGGATAGCTAGCTTTGAAATAAATTCTCTCCACCTTTGTGGCAATAAAATACTTTTGAATATCTACTGTATGCTTAATAATATAAGAAATAGTTCATATTTGTCAGTCTGACTTTCAAGTTTCCTAGACTGGTCAGTGCTTCTCCTTTAAACTTTAAACTTTCCCCCCAGCACCTGCCTTAAAGGATGATGCTCTAGCTAGAGAGGTCTGTTTGTGCATTCTCCTCATTTTTAACTCATTCCCAACATTTGCTAAAGTCATTCTCTTCCTTTACTACTCACTCTTCCCCACTCTACCCCCATAACAAATAGAAGACTCTCCTTTTATGCTTATACAGTTCCTAGCCTAGGAGATAATTGCCTACAATTTTGCTCTATTACATGCTTATCTCTCATAACTGTGAATCACACATACTTAATTTCTGATTTGTTTGCCAATTATGTCTTCCTTTGACGTAATAAAGTGGGCATATTGTGAAATGCTCTAGCATTTGGCCCTTGGAAACAGCTAAACTGTTTTGTATCACAACATTATGAGTTCCTAGCTCTGTGACCATGGGAAAAGTTGCTTAATCTCAATGAGCTTGTCTTCTCATGTATAAACTATAGATATTGATAGTACATATTTCACAAAGTTTTGAGGAGGATTAAACGTGATAGCATATATAAAAGTACTTAACAGTGCCTGCTGGCTCAGAATAAGCAATGTTAGCTGTTACTATTTTTTTAATATTTATTTTTATTTATGTAGGTATGCAAGAACTGGGGTGTGGGCCAGAGGTGTGGGTGAGGTGGTGGTAAGAGGATTCACCAGATACAACATAGGGAGCAGAGCCAGAGTTTGAACTTGGCTTGAAAGACTTTCTATTACTTCATGATATTTTTTGTAGACATGAGAAACTCCTTGTTTTATTTATAGGGCCAAATAAGTATTATATACAAATCTAGCCCATTAATTTAATGGATATATTGTA